TCTGATGCCATGGCAATTTGTGTAGACAAGCATGAAATTAGTTCCAGCGGAAAGGAACTAACATGGTAGATTGAAAGAGTGCCAGATAGTAGGAAAAGGCAGACTGGCCTTTATTTGTCTGACAAATACCAACTATTTGATGTATCCACCTCCCAAGATTTAGGCCCATTTAGTGATTTGCTTCACTCAAGAGCAGAGAATAAGCTGGCCCCTATAAAACAACTTCCTCTCTATGGCATCGGTGTATTATATTATCTCTTGAGGGTTTTAGTTGTATTTGAAGGGTCCTTGATATACTCTGAACTTGCTTGTTTTCTTGCAGATTTTTCATTACTCAAACTGGGTAACATCTTCAGTGCTGTAGGTTACATTACATGAATAGAATAGAATAGAATAGAATAGAATAGAATAGAATAGAATAGAATAGAATAGAATAGAATAGAATAGAATAGAATAGAATTCTTTATTGGCCAAGTGTGATTGGACACACAAGGAATTTGTCTTTGGTGCGTATGCTCTCCGTGTACATAAAAAGACAAGATACATTTGTCAAGAATCATAAGATACAACACTTAATGATAGTCATAGGGTACAAATAAGCAATCAAATCATACAAGGAAACAATCAATATAAATTGTAAGGATACAAGCAACAGAGTTACAGTCGTGCAGTCATAAGTGGGAGGAGATGGGTAATAGGAATGATGAGAAGATTAATAGTAATAGTAATGCAGATTTAGTGAATAGTTTGACAGTATTGAGGGAATTATTTGTTTAGCAGAGTGATGGCGTTCGGGAAAAAACTGTTCTTGTGTCTAGTTGTTCTGGTGTGCTGTGCTCTATAGCATCGTTTTGAGGGTAAGAGTTGAAACAATTTATGTCCAGGATGCGAGGGGTCTGTAAATATTTTCACAGCCCTCTTTTTTACTCGTGCAGTATACAGGTCCTCAATGGAAGGTCCTCAATTAGTTGTATCTCCCACGGTATAAGACGCACCTTAGTTTTTGGGGAGAAACAAGCTGATTGGTGGGTGGATGGCCTCCTAGAATATCCCCAATCAGCTGTTCCCAAAGGTGAACTTTAGCAACAGGTTCATTGGTTGTGAGCTCTGCGCCTTGCTTTTTTTTCAGCCTCTGAAACCTCCCTTTAAGAGACTGTTTCAGAGGCTGGGCGGGGCTACATTCAGTGTATAAGACACACCCAAATTTTCATCCTCTTTTAAGGGGGGAAAACGGTGCGTCTTACACTCCGAAAAATACGGTATGTGAAAAATCAATCAATCAATAGATATATATGAACTCGCACAATGATATTACAGTGCTTATGATGTAGGTCAATATTACATTATATTTAAGGAAAAATGCTTGAGGGTTTTAATTGCAAACCCTGTATTGATGCTAATTTGCTTCACTGTCTGAGATAGAAAATACATCTGCTTTGTGACGGTCCCAAATTACACTTTACAATTTATATATCAAAGAAACGGGAGGCTATGATGCTCATTTAGATCCATTCTCTGTCTGTTCTCGCTGCATTTTATGTCAGACAGATTAGGCATCCGGTATATATAAAGAGTACAATGGAGCTTTTCAGTAATGATTATAGACAAAGCTAAAGATAGGATCAACTCCTCTTACCCTTCTTTTTTATTGCTTAAAATAGGCCCTGTTTTCCCAGTATTTTTCACAGCGGTTTCAGGTTTCAGAAATCTTTAACAATGTTATTTGTCTGATCAAATTTAATGAGTATCCCCAGACCTAGCCATTTTAAATTGAGTTAAACCTAGTAACCCTGAAGCCTGACCATTACAGTCCAGAAGAAAAGGGGACACCGTGTATGACAAGAAGTATTGCTTTTGGATTATTTTTTTTTAGACTGAAAAAAAAAATCACCTTATTTTTGAGAAATCTCTCTTGCTTTTCTCATGCCCTCGTAACCCTGAAAGTGTGATAGAAACCTACAGAAAGTACTGAAGCTATAACGAAGCTTTAAAAATGGGAGAAAATGGTACCAATCAGTTTTGCTAAACTTTGACATCCTGGAGATATTGCCTGGATTTCTAAACTCAACAAGGCAATCAGAACTGAAATTAATTAATAATTGACTGGAAATTAATTATCCACTGGTTGTGCTTCCTTATTCTTTTTTCTTTTTTCTTTTTCAGGGCCGTTCTTGATTCAGCATATACTGTACATAAAATCAAAACACGTTTTGGCATTTGCATTGTAAGAGGAGAATATATTTGAGAACGCATACTTTTTAATGATCTAGTACTGAAAAGTAAAAGTCTATTTTAGTGTGACTTTTTTGTGCCAAAGGAAATGGGGGAAGTATAGAAAAAGAATACAGATGGACCGTGAAAAGGGATTTTTAGCTTCCAAAAGAAACAAGGGATCTTTTGGCTATCTTCTTATTGTCTTTGAGCATCGCTGAAGCCATATGACATTTGAAATGGGTGAATATTTATTGCAGTCCTAGTTGAGATGTTAATACTCCAAAGGAGAATCTGAAGCAACTAGGACAGGAACACTATAAGACATTAAAAAAGGAATCTAAAAGTGAATGTTAGCCACAGCTTTGCTGGAGGTTAAATGTAAAGATCTTCTCCATGTGTAAATGGTTCACTGACCCATAATAATAAAGCAGTGCTTCAGAAGAAGGGTAATTATCTAAATTTCTCAAACACCCAGAGGTAAATGCTCCCTATCTTTTCTTTTGAAAATAAACCAATGTGCCTCTACTTAGTTTTTTACCCTGACGCTCCCCCCCCTTTTTTTTAATGAGGGAAATTAATTAGTTCTCTTATTTCTTTATTCCTGGTGTAGAAATCAAGGCTCACTGCAACTCTCCTGTTTTCCCTTTGGGCTCCTGGCTCAGCCGGCGGCATCATTTATGAAGGCATTTTCTGCAGCCTCCCGAAAAGACTAGCAAATAAATGATTGGAACTTATTAAGCCCTGCAGTTCCTTCTACTGCAGGCAGACAAATAAGCAACAGAATCAAAAAGGGAACCCCAGCAGAAAATAGATGTGCCGTTTTCCAATCTCGTTTTGATTGAACATATTTCCATCAATCAGCTCCTTTATGAAGCAGCTCTGCCCTTGTTATTCTGGAGTAAATCCTATTGGGTAGATTGGTTTTTTACTAAATCAGGGGTGGGGAACCATGGTCCTTTTAATGACTGGTGGATTTCAACTCCCATGATTCCTGAGCCAGCCATGCTCAGGACAATATGTGCAAAACTGTGATCTGATATGGGGTTGGTTTTACCCCTCTTTTACCACACGTAGCCATGAGTTCAGGGGGGCTTAGTTTCCTAAGGGAAAATAGGGATTGGGCTAAAATATAAAGCTGGAAAGAGGTCTCAGTGCACTCAATCTGTCTTACGTTGGAGGTGATGTGAAAATCTTATATATAGGCTTACTTGGATAACTTCCAAGGATCTGACTAAAAATTGCTCCCAAGTAAATATATATTTCATGGTACAAGTAAATGCTTAAGACAGCAAATGTGTTTGGAAAAAAATTTGCTTGAAGTATCGTAGCCAGAATTCTGTGTTCCAGGAATTTTACTTATTCAGTTCCAAGAAATTTCAAAGGGAAGGTGTCCCAGGGATCCTAAGAGTTTATGGAGTTGCTTGTAGTCTGAGTACTCTGTTTATTGATTGTGCCAATCAAATTACTGATTGCAATCCAAAAGAAAGCTAAATGTGCTTAGATCAACATAAATCTCAGTTCTGGCTGTGGAAGTGATGCAGTATACAAAGAGTTGCCCAAGCTTTTAACAGTGCAATTATTTGACTCTCAATGCCAATTTATTCAGCTTAGACTAGTAAATTCTATTGAAGGTTTAGCTTTATACATTTATGTCATATATTTTTTTTCAGGAATGTTTTCATGACAGTAAAAGTGGGTTCAACTGTACTTTAGTATTATGCGTATTCATGTGTGATTGTCTTTTTTCTTCAGAGCTGAAACAGATACTGCATTTCAGAAAGAACTGTGCAAATGATGCAAAAAGCCGTTTGTTTGTTTTTCTGACTCATTTACACTGTGATCCTATATATAGTTACCTAGATTAAAAATATATATATCATGGTACTCAGATTTACCTCTGAGGAGATGTTCATACAATTACATTGGCAACACCCTTTATGCAGTTTGAAAACTATGAAATGGAGTTTTATCCAAAACCTTAGACAGCTGTGTATATCTTTTTTCCCTAACTTCTGGATGTTCTTTTCTTTCTAACTCACAAATACGTCTTCTGATCCTAGGGCTATTTATAAAGGAGGAGAAAGTTTATTCAGTTAGAAAGTCAAGTATTTAAAAAAAAAAATTTAATTTTTTTTTAAATTTTTGATTTATATGCCGCCCTTCTCCGGAGACTCAGGGCGGCTTACAATGCACTAAGCAATAGCCTTCATTCTTTTGTATATTTATACAAAGTCAGCTTATTGCCCCCACAACTGGGTCCTCAATTTACCTACCTTAGAAAGGATGGAAGGCTGAGTCAACTTTGAGCCTTGGCGAGATTCGAACCTGCAGTAATTGCAGGCAGCTGTTCTTAATAACAGGGTGCTTTAGACCACTGTACTACCAAGGCTCTTGAATGTCAATGTGTCTGGACCTAGAACCTGTGAAAATGTATAATCCTTCCTTCCTTCCTTCCTTCCTTCCTTCCTTCCTTCCTTCCTTCCTTCCTTCCTTCCTTCTTTCATTCCTTCCTTTCTTCCTTCTTTCCTCTTTCCTCTTTCTCCCCTGTCCTTCCCTTCTTCCTTCCTTTCCTTCTTCCTTCCTTCCTTCCTTCCTTCCTTCCTTCCTTCCTTCCTTCCTTCCTTCCTTCCTTCCTTCCTTCCTTCCTTCCTTCCTTTCCGTTTTCATATTTCAAATTTTATTGAAAAGCAGGTTCTCTTCTACATATTTTTGTGGAACTGAGTATCTAGTATCCTCCTAATGGATTGCTGCAGTTCAAAGTTGTTCCTTAACTTTATATAAATCAGATGTTCTCATTTGCCCTCTCCGCCCTGTGGAGCGTTTTCGCGACTTGCATCCTGAGGAAGTGGCTGATTTATTTCGCACAACACAAGCAGTTGGCAATGTAGTGGAGCAACATTTTGGAGGAACTTCGCTCACCATTTCGGTTCAGGTTAGTACTAGTACTGTGATTTGATTACAGCAAAAATTGGCGTACCTTGTCCTTATACGTCATTGTTCAAAAGCTCTCCCAAAATATAATTTTTAAGGTTTATAATACCAAAAATAATTCTTAAGGTGCACGTGCAATTTCCTGTGTGAAGTGGGGTTCACTATAGCAACATCAACTAAAAGTCAATATTGTAGCTAGCTTAGATTTTTTTTTTTTCTAAAAAAAAACCTCATTAGTAATTAATTTAATGTCCTCTGGGACAATTCTCTAAATGCCCTAGGAGAGAGAAGAATGCATGCAGTGAATAGTTTTTGCACATTTGCAGAAATAGCTTTCAAGTGTTAGAAACCATACCACAACACCGTACTGCAACATTCATACAGGATTCCAGGCTTACCTAGGATCACCAAAACTAAGCAGCCTCAAAATCCATTAAAGACAGCTTTGACCATGCTATTCCATGTTGGCATACAACCGTAAAATAAGCAAAGAGCTCAAAACAAACAAACAAACAAACAAACAAACCTATAGTTGCTATAATTCACTGCAGAGATTTCTTAATTTGGGAGACAGAATGGAAGAACTAGAAGGATGGTGGTTGTGAGTTTCCCTTTTGTTGCTTTCTTGCCATCAACAATAATATTTTATTGCTACTTCTACTTACGTGATACCACTCAGGCTGAAATGAGTGAGAAAAGGATAGCTGTCATCTTCTCCTTGGATTGACCTGAGTGGCGTAGGCGGCTAATGCCTCCTACTAAGGCAGCATTTAACATCCAGCTGCCTGCAATTACTGCGAGTTCAATTCTCACCAGACTCAAGGTCGACTCAGCCTTCCATCCTTTCTAAGGTGGGTAAAATGAGGACCCGGTTTGTGGGGGCAATAAGCTGACTTTTATAAAATATACAAAAGTATGAAGGCTATTGCTTAACCCATTGTAAGCCGCCCTGAGTCTCCGGAGAAGGGCAGCATATAAAAATAAATAAATAAATAAATAAATAAATAAATAAATAAATAAATAAACGAATAAACGAATGAATGAATGAATGAATGAATGAATGAATGAATAAATAAATAAATAAATAAATAAATATAACTTGACCATCATCAAGGAAGAAGGTAGCTTAAGCAGCCTTAAGACCTGGAGAAAACGTTTGACTAAGCTACCTCTCGGATGTCAAGCCCTATTCCTGAAATCTTTAAGTTACGTTGTCTTTGACCTGGTTAATGTCCTCAATACTGAGATGTTTGCGGTTTTTTTGTCCCTCATCCCACTGCATAAATTTTGTCACAGAACATTGCAGGAGTGATTTTGGAAATGAAAATATGCCTTTGGGGTCTCCGGTAGCAAGCAACTCAGATCAACTCATGCCATCTTCCTGAAGTTAGTTTGGCTGGAGTTTCAGAGGCCATATTCCTATTAAAGACCAAGTTAGCGTGATTGTGGCTTTAGTGTACAATTTGTATTGTCTCTTCTCCAGAGTGACTGAACTGGTCCCTCTTCATAAATTTCAGATGGTTCTTTTAGTCTTCCCTAAATAAACAGAGGCTGATAACCAAAAGTATGCCTTGAAGAACCATTCTTCATGGAATTCAGGAAACCCATGTACATGATGAATTTCATGCACAAAAAATAATGGAAAACCAGGATTGTACCTGCAGAAACTAAGGGTCTCAGCTCATGATGTTTTAGCTACATGCAAATGGGACCCTGAATATGGACAAGGTGCCGGTAGTTACCTATAAAACCCTACAATGGCTTGGTACTTGAAGGATCACCTTTTTTTCAAAAGTGTGTACCTGTCCAACTAGTTCAAAGGGAATAGGCATGTTGCACTTCCTGTCAGCCAAAGAATGTTGGTTGGTAGGAACCAGAAGGCAAGCTTGCTCTACCGTGGCCCCTGCTCTATAGACCATCCTCCTTTCAGAATGGCCCCAAACCTGTCAGGTCCATCATTGTATTCCGGTATCCTGTCATTGTCCTGGGGTGGAGGAGCTTGGCATGTTTGGGATTTTTCTGCTTTTACTGTACACTTGGGCATTAAGGAGGGGTACTATCTTTGGAGATGGGAAGGATTCCTTCCCAGCTGGTTTTTGCCAGGTTCCAAGGTCTTCGTGCCCTGAGTGCAATCTGTTATCTGCCTAGCACCTCAGCATTCTCAAAATATCTTCTTGGCATCACATTGGCTGCTGGTGGACTGGTCATGAGGGTTGTGATTGGGAAATCAAAAGAATTGCTTTTGCTTTGCCCGGGACCTTTAGATTCCGCTTGACTTTACTGCAGCCAGTTTCTCTCAGTAAAAGTTCGTTTGATTCAATTCAATGGATTCAAGAGTCTTGCTTTCCTGAGGGGGCCGACTGGACCAGGCCTGACAGCCTTTTAATCATACAGATTTCATGTACATGGGTTTCTTGAATGCCATGAAGGATGTTTCTACAAAGCATACTTCTGGTCACCAGTCTCCATATATTTATGGATGACTGAGTGTGTTGAATGTGCCAAAGGCCCTACATCCTGACTCTGTTGCTAACAGGCCAAATATCTAGCTCTTGTGTATGTCGAATTGAATGTTTTAAATGTTTTCTTTACTGGCTTTACTGTTTTTATTGTTTTAAAATGCTTTTAATTACATTTAAATGTATTTAAATACATTTAAATACAATTAAATTTTTAATGGTAATATATTTTCTGAACTGTAGACCACCCGGAGTTATTGACTGAGATGGGTGACCATATAAATTGAACAAACAAATAATAAACATCCCTAAAATGGAATATATGTCTCTTCAATGTCTCTTGGCTTCCTTGTTCTTCATTTGTGTACCCCATGTACATATGATAGCTATAAAGCATATCCTGACTAAACAGGATAATGAAGTTTCATATATTAATTTTAATCTTGGATTTAAGTATAAATAGCTTTTTGAGCTGCCCACGGAATGTGGGTTTTCTACAAAAAGCTCATTTATTTTCCCACCAAGTGGATAAGTCTGTTTAGCTTCTGGGACACAGCTGTGAATGAATGGGTTGCACTGGTTACCTCAGACCTTTTGTTAAAATCATATTAAGCCAAAAAAGGGCATCCTACTGTATCGTATCTGCCAACAACGTGTCTTTTCTAAACAGTCCCCATAAATCTTGATGAGCACCAACATTATTAAGAGCATCTGTGATCTGAGATGGTGAGGGCCAAGAGGAACAATTGTGCCAGAACTTTTTCTCCTCAGTGCCATCATTTCCCATTTGATTTGGCCCTGAAATAGACAGGTGTCTTTTCCCAAGTACTTCAGCACCAGATCATCCCCACAAGAGTGCAATAAATTAATGCACAATGAAATTAGATTTAAATTATTAATGGCACATTTTTTTGAATGCCCAGGAGAACCTTGTTGGCTGTTATTATCTAATTCTTTCCCCCACTTCCCCTTCCTCTCTTTCCTCTCTTCCACTTCTCCCCACAGGATGGTCCTGAAGCTGGACAGACTGTGAAGGTGAGTGCTTATTTTATTATGCAGAGTACCAATTAATAAGAAGCAATTATATGAACGAATAAAACCAGTCAGCTGCAGCACAATGCTGTGTTGCTGTTTTATCCTTGAAGCCAGAAGATCCCACAGTCTTTAGTATCTGTAAATATATTGATTGAAATGGGATGGTACAATATGCTTACATCTCACCTCTTTTCCTAACTGTTGTCATTTAATGCTACCTCTTGGCCACTACTGTAGTTCCATGAAATCCTTCTGTCTTGTATAGTTGTCTTCTAAAGGTGTGAAAGGGGTGCTGCATCCTGCATTTCAGGTAAGATTTTAAGAGCATATAAAAACGCCTCCCTTATACCACAAAGGGCTAGGCTTAGCTTGTTGTTGTTGTTGTTCAATTAAAACTGTAGGAGACATTGATTAGGACATACAGAAAAGCCATACAATTAGCATGAAAGCATTTTGATCCCAATAATTTATTTTCGCTAAGAACTGAACAAATACCACTGTACATTTCAGGGGTGGGTTCTACTTACGTTTACCATCAGTTCACAATGGGAATGCACATGCACGCTCCCTTCACTTCATGCGCACCTTGCTTCTATGCAAGCGCAGAAGCTTCTGATGACAACATCTGGAGCAGTGGGCGGGGCTTCCCACCGGTTTTACTACCGGTTCTTGCGAACCAGTCCGAACCGGGGCAACCCACCACTGGTACATTTTGCACACAAAAATGCAATTCTAAGTATTTTCTACATTTTAATATTATAAATGTTTGTGGGAATGAGGTTTTCTCAGGGAGAAAGTTCATTTGTTGCTGCTAAAGTTCAATAATTGGGATGCCATTGACTGAAAATTGCTTAGAGACTTCCATTTGATGTGGTTCTTAATTTTTCTCCATCCCTGGATTTCTCCATGGTCCTGCACTCCATTGTGGCAAGCTAGATGCTTTCAGAGAATAAAGTCACCTTCCGTTTTATCTATGGAGATTCTCGGTCATCCAGGTCATGGTTGTCCCAAAGGTGCTTTTTCAAGAGGCAACCAGACTTTCTTTATTTTTCCTGGAAGACGTTTTGCTTCTCATCCAAGAAACTTCTTCAGTTCTGACTGAATTGTCAGGAGTAGAAGGATTTATGTTCCTTGTAGTCACCTGATAGATGAGGCACATGAAGAATTTGAGGACCCAGGCTTTAAATTATGGGAGGTGTCAACCCATCTTGGTTTACCATCCCTAATTCCACATATGGGGTTTTGAGAAGTTAAAACTTCATGCCTTTGTAAGATGGCAAGTCACTTTGCTTAATCAGCCATTCTCCTTTCTAGAGATTACAATTAAATACTTTTTAGGTTTCTACATGCTGATAGCTCCTAGTCAAGTAACTGAAGAAATTTGGGACAAGGTAACTTTAACTAAGCTACTAATAGGAGATCTAAGGGGAATCTGCCCCATCATCCAGTCAAAGCTGAAGAAGCTTCTTGGATGAGAAGCGAAACATCTTCAAAGAAAAACCAGAAAGTCCAGTTGCCTCTTGAAAAAAGGACCCATTTTCCTTTTCTTAATTATCATCCAGCAGAGAATGCTTCTGAAAATAGTACTTCTAGGTTGCCTAATTATATTAATCTTTCTTCACTTTGTAAAATTCTCTCTTTAAAAATGACTTCTGCTTTGTTACATAGATTATGACCTCTTGTGAGGTCAGTTTCAAGTGATGTCCTTGAGGTCTAATAGATTGAGAAAGATACTTTTATCTACAGTATCTCTTGTTCCGTCTTCCTCATAACAAACTATTTCTACAATTTCTGAGCAAGCTGGACTTTGATTTAATTCATAAACAGAGGCCTACTCAGATCAAACATCTTTGTCTTCTGATTGACTGGTTACCAAATGTTTTGCATCTGAATTTATGAGTTACTTCCCTTAAAAGGATTAAGACTGAAATGAGTGAAAAAGAGAAAAAAAAACTGTGATAGTCATTCTGTCTGGGTAAAGCACCCATTTTTGATTATACTCCTTGACTTGAAATCGTATCAATTACTATTTAAATTACAATTTATGTTTATAGTGTTTCCTGATTACTTATTTGTAATCTATGACTATCATTAAGTGTTGTACCTTATGATTCTTGATGAACGTATCTTTTATTTTATGTACACTGAGAGCATATGCACCAAGACAAATTTCTTGTGTATCCAATCACACTTGGCCAATAAAAAATTCTATTCTATTCTATTGACTTCTGCATCTATCTACATAACCTATCTATCAGCAATTAATTTGGTTAGTTGGTATAATCAGGCAGTGGGGAAATTCATATTGAATATGACCGACCAGGATTTCTTATCTGAATTTGTCCCCCATGCTTCTGTTCTTAGCTCCCACACCAGCCCCATTCCATTTCCTCTGCTAAGATTCATCATTGATTTGATAGAATATAATCAATCAACAGATGAATTATAAGCTTTTCCAACTGCCTTCCTCAGCACAGAATCAAGAAATTGTACTTTTTGAGAGACAGCAGGAGGGAATAATGACGAAATGCCTGTGGAGAAAAATAGTCCCCTCTTCTATATACCAGAGAAGGCCGGGAGTGGCTGTTTCCTCCACATGGAAGAAGGAACTGCTGCTACACTATCATCATCTTCTTTTAATGACCCCATAATCCCTTGCGGGGTGGAGTCTGGGCAACTGAGTGGAGCTAGCAAAGTGTTTACTGGCCAGATGTCCTTCCTGTCTCCAATGTGGAGTTTTGTTCAGCAGATATATTCTCATTGTGCCCGGAGAGAGAAATATCTGTCTCTACCTAGGATCGAACTGACAGCCTCCTGACTGTGAGGTGAGAGCTCCACCTCTAGGCCACCTCACCATTCCTAACTGCTGCTACACCATGCTCAGATGTAATTCCCCGATGCAGTCCTCTATCCAAGGTGGCCATTTCAATCAAGGTAGCCCCAGTCCTTATGATCGTTCAGCCCACTAAAGATCTGAGATTGGAAGGATGGAGTCTCTGCTCCATCACTGGATTAGATGTGGTGAGGAGAATTATGGGAGCTGGGCTTGTACACTGCTGCTGACCTGTGCTATGGCTGCCTCTGCTCTGTTTCTTCGTTCTTGTCCTGGGTGCTTTGTAAAACAGCGTGCTTGTGTCAATCCTATCAGGTGGACCAAATTAAGAAACCTATGCCATATCGGTCAAAACTCCTTTTATTGGAACAACTACAATAACAAAATCTTGCAAGACTGAATGAGCAGCCCTGTTGTGGCTCACCAGCAGCCAGTGGATCTGGCAGCCGATTCGGACAGTGAGGAGGTTGGGGAGGAACATGGGCCAGTCCTGGAGTCTGGGGAAGGCTCTGTTGAGGGTTCTATGTCTGAGGCAGAGAGGAGGCCAGGGCCGTATGCCAGTTATCAGCTGCCTTTGGAGTCAGAAATCAGTGAGACAGACAAACAGCTGGAGCCTGTTCAGCTAAAGAACAAGGGTCGACTTGGGAGTAAGGCCACAGGTGGATGACGAATGGTCCCTCCCAGAGGGAATAAAAGAGGAGCAAAAGGGGAGTGGAGTTTCCAAGAAAAATTAGTTCATTACTGCATTCTTGTCAAGTATTGCTGTGTCTGAAAAATATCGGCCTGGCCACTCTCTAAGCCTGATAAAGGTTGGTAATTGTGAACTATCTTGAAAGACTGTGGGAGAGGAAAGACTTTGCAGGAGAGGAATTCACTGTAAATTAAATAAAAGGGTTTTATCGGGACGAGGACTCGGCTTCGGACTGCTGGGAAAGTCTAGGTCAGAACAAGCCCCACTTTTTTCACTTTATCTTCATGTAAGCTAGGGAGGGGCTTGTCTGAGACATTTTGTCAAGTTACTTTTTCTGATCTCAGCTCAAGTCCCTCTTATCTGATTGTTGCCATGGTAGCTATTCTTCCTTCTGTCCTTCAAGGCCATCCCCTCTACCCTCTACAGTCCAATGCACTGGAGGTACCATGGCATTATCTTGACTATTATATAATAGTGATGATGTAAGGATAGGTAGTCTTGTTACTGAACGTTTAGTTGCTACCTCTATGTTTGGCACAATCACATACATTTCCAGGAACATTGGAGTTATGTCTGTCTTTCTGCTGTTTGGGTATTTTCGGTTTCTTTTTCTGATCGTTTCTCAGTTAAGGCCCTGTGGACATGGTGGACATTCCACTGACACAGCAATGATGTAATTTTGATCCTGGCATTATGTGAGTATAAGATTTCTCAGCTGAAGTCCTTGTTAGGGTTGATTCACATAATCTTAACAATTGACAATAGCAAATGGAAGCAATTCTCTTCTTTTCTACTTCGTACATTGACCTTATTTGTGATCTCTTTCTTTCTTTCTTTCTTTCTTTTTTTTTTTTTGCCTCAGAATAGCTCACAAGGCTGAAGGAAGGAGAAAGAAATAGAAAACTAAAAAAGCACTTAGCACATCTCAAGTGAATTGCTGGGTCAAAGATTCAGAAATCTTACTGGAGAAAAAAAAACCCAGAAGAGATTTTTTTTTTTTTTTAATTTCATGGCCCATTTCCAGCTCTTTAATTCATCTTCATTTTGCTTCTCCCTATCCAATGTCACTTCTTGGACACTTTTGGTCTCACGGTGCCTGCTGCCATGTTCCCATGATATCTGCTCTGGCAGAAAGGCAGGATATAAATCATCAACTTTCCACCGTGAATCCCTTTTCTAAAGCAGGAATCTCTAATTTTTTTTAAGAGACAGTCACATTTGAAGTGTTGAGATTACAGGTAGTCCTCAGTTTACTACAGCAACTCGGGCCATAATTGTCATTGCTAACAATGTAGTCATAAAGTGTGCGTGACTGCACCACTTGGTTGTGCCAGTTGCATCATTAAGCAAGGACCTCCACTTCCGATTTCCTGCTGGCTTCCCCACTGACTTTACCTGTTGTTGGAACTAGAAGTGATGACAGCTGGAACTCCAAGGACTGGTTAAAACTACCATTTGTTCAGCCCTATCATCAGTTTGAACAGTTGCTGAATGAGTGTCTGTTAAATGAGGATCACCTATATGTAATGTTCAGTGACAGAACACCTATTTATTAGAAGGAAAGTGATGAGGGTGCTCTTTCCTCTAACTATCCAAGATAGTTTTCTACCACCAATTTCCCTTTATCCTTCTGTTAAATAGGTGGTTACACTTCTTAATGAATCCGAGGGCTATCAACAGCCACCACTGTATTATCTTTTAAGGATTTATGTTGGGTGAAATTCACTTACCTTCCCCACCGGTTTGCAAATGTGCATGCACCGTGTCATCCTTGCATGTGGAAAGC